AACAGTAAACATGCAAAAATAAGGAAGCCAAAGCTGAACTAAATTATTTAAAAGAACTAAAAGCGTACTGGCTGCAGGAAGATTTTCCCGAGTAAAATTGGATTTCTAATTCATGGTGCAACAGCAAAACTGAGGGGAAAAGCATCTCTAAGGGGCTGAGGGCTTTTACATAAGGCCTGAGAGGCAAAACAGGAAGTAAAGAGGCTGATGGTTCATTTCCTAAACTAATTCCTGATCTAAATTTCTGTTTTTTTGGGTCCGGATCCCTCACAGTCTGCATAAACCTGCCGGATATTAGGCATACGGAGATATATTACAGATTAAAACAGAATAATAATCTAATTATCCGCCACAAACCAGAGGAGTTTGGATCAGATTGAGTACCTTTCCTCACCAAAATCCAAATAAATGATCCAGAGTTCAGAAGAAGAGACCAATCAGAGCTGAGAAACAGAGTTTGAAGCTTTTTCTGTGTGAATTTTTGTCTGGTTTTACTAAGAAAATTCACATTTTTTTGGTCTTTTTTCCTTGTTTTCCCCCCACTTTCCAAACAAACGTGTCCACTAAGTTTAATATGAGTGTGTAACCAGCAGAGAATCATCACTGGAATTTCAGCATTTTTAACTCATTGGCTGCCAAATACGTCTATAGACGTCTTTTATGTTTTTCATCGAGAGTGTCTGGGGGACGATCTGCTAAAGCTTCTCCGTAAATATGGGCTTCTAGACAGAGTATGTAGTAACAAATTGACCCTCTAGGGGGCAGTGTCACTTTTGATGGGAGATGAGCATAGACTGTAGGCAAATAAGAAAAAGCTAACGGTTCTATGAGAGAACATGTCGCCGGTGAGACGCAAGTCCAGGAAGAACGGAATAAGGTAGAAACACTTTTTTTTTCCTGATGAAAGAAGAGAGTCTACTCTTTCTTTTGGTGTGTTCGGTGTTTACATAGTCATAGCACAAACTATTCTGTGGCTCTAGAAAAATCTGTCAAAATGCTCAAAAAACTGGCAGTATGGGACTCTGTTCTGAAAATGGCTGCCAGTCAATGAGTTAATCTGAGGATCTCCCAGAATCCCTCTGGTCTGGGAGTCTGTTTTCTGTTATTTTTTGGCTAGCAGAGCGCTTTTGGGGCTCCTCCTACCTGTAGGGTGCTGACCACCTCCTGCATCTTGGCCCGGCCCAGGTCCAGGAAGCTCTCGATCAGGTCCCCGTCGATGAAGCCCGTGGGCTGCTCCGTTTTACGCTCCGTGTGGAAGGACCTCCAGGTGTCCGGCCGTTAAGGAAAAACCCGAGGATTTCTCTGTGGTTTCGCAAAGTAATGTCATTTTACACTGTACTTAATCTGTATTTTTTGTATTTTTATTTATTTATTTATTTATTTATTTATTTATTTATTTACTTATTTATTTATTTGATTTATTTTATTTATATATTTACATATTTATTAATTTGATTGATTGATTTATTCATTTATTTTTATTTTATTTATTTATTTTTGCTTAATTTAATTCAAACTTAATACTTTTTGCCCTTTAAGCTGCTGGTAACCTTAATTTCCTGAGGGAGTCTTCCCAAGGGATCAATAAAGTACTGTCTAAGTCTCTTTGTCAGATTGGAAAAGATTGGTCTTATAGCAAAGGGAAACTATTGTAAGTTGTAATGTCATTTTTCATATTGGAAAAGATTGGTCTTATAGCAAAGGGAAAATATAGTAAATTTGATCGGATTTCTGCCTGTTAAAATTAAGTTTTTCCTTCCCTGTGTCGCCTAGTGCCTAGTGCTCATGGTGGAAATTGTTGACATTTTCTTTACTCTCAACTATCATGAGTCTTTAGTATAAATAATGCTTTCATTTATAAGTATTATTTTTGGAGGTTCAATTATATGAATCTAAAAAATATCTTCAATCTCCCCTATATTTAAACAATTTCTTTTTACAAAAACAAAACAAAACAACAAAAAGACATTTTCTTTACTCTCAACTATTGTGAGTCTTTAGTATAAATAATGCTTTCATTTATATGTATTATTTTTGGAGGTTCAATTACATGAATCCAGAAAATATCTTCAATCCCCCCTTTATTTAAACAAATTCTTTTTACAAAAAAAAAAGAAACATTTTATTTACTCTCATCTATCGTGAGTCTTTACTATAAATAATTCTTTAATTTTTTCTTCATATTTTGTCAGATGTTCCAGTAATGAGAGGAAACCTCCTCTGCTTTTTCCTTTTTCCTGATGAGGATTTAAGCATTAAGGTGTCGGGACGTTTTATGAACTCCGTATATGAACCTTTGCACTGAAGCGTGAAACCTTCGTAAAGCGTCTTTAACCCTTTAAAGCCTGATCCAAGAAAAATGGTAAGAATATTGGATGTTTTTTAGTCTGAAGTCTTTCTTTGGCTCCTCAACAACATATGAAGAAAAAAAAACAGAAATTATTTTGATCAAATTAGCGTGCAATAAGTCAAAAATATATGTTGGTGTAGTCTTCTACTGGCTGTTATCAGGTATATCTGAATGTGTACAACAGGGGTTTGAGCAAAGCTTTTACCACTGAATGATGCAGAAAGTCTCAGATCCAAAAGAAACCGGATCAGATATGACACATTTGGCTTTATAGGGTTAAGACCATTAAAGGATATAAGCTGTGCTCGATCTTGCCCACGCTCTTGATGACTTTGTTGAGGCGGTTCTGCAGGTCCAGCAGGAGGCTGTACCAGCCCTCAGATAGAGACGTTACCAGGCCTAAAACACACAAAAACACACAAAAACACACAAGATATGAGCCTCACAACACAGACAGCAAACATTTAGGACAAACCCAGGGCTCAGAGCAGCTTTGTCATTAACTCATTGGCTGCCAAAGACGTCTATAGACGTCTAGGGATGGGGATGGATAATATTTATTGATATCGATACCTTTATCAATACTCCTTATCGATCCGAGTCTTTATCGATACCACTATCGATAATTTTCTGTTATTTGGTGGAAAGACGATGCGACAATATTTAACAAATAAATAATTGTATTTTAAATTAAATGTGATTTTTAATAAATGTTGGCATCAGTAGTTTAATTATATATTCTAAAATAATTAGAGCAATATACAACTGTATTACTCATGTTTCTCGCCAAAAACTCAATTTCCCTTCTCTTTACGTTACACTTGAACGCATCATGATAACCTAATTGTCGTTTTACTGAGCCACTCTGAACACATCATCACGTCTGAAACTTTATTTACTTTTCAAGCTAACTAGCTTGTATGCTGCCAATTACAACACGGATTTCACAATTACTATTGTAATAATAAAAAAACCCACCAGACTGGATAGTGGTATCGATAAGCCCAAACGTTATTGATTTTCGGGTTTTGAAAAAAGTGGAACCGGGTCCTTGATAGAACTGGGTTTCGATCCCCATCCCCATAGACATCAATTCAAATCCAAAGGTTGACTGCCAAAGACGTCTATAGAGGTCTTTTATGTTTTTCAGCGAGAGTGTCTGGGGGACGATCTGCTAAAGCTTGTCCATAAATATCAGGCTTCTAGACAGAGTATGTAGTAACAAATTGACCCTCTAGGGGGCAGTGCCACTTTTGATGGGAGATGAGCATAGACTGTAGGCAAATAAGAAAAAGGTAACGGTTCTATACTATTTACAAAAATCTATTTGTAATTATTTTGCAATTTAAAACCAATTTCTAGATGTTGTTTTTTTCCGTTTTATCGAAGGATACAACTTTTAAGATGTTTGAGGTGTCACTAAAGCCAAAAAAATAGCATCAAAGACACTTCTCTGCTTGAACTGTATCTTTCACAAAAACCTCGTTTTCTCCATTTATTGGTCAAAAACTAGTGTTTTTGTTGAAACCAACCTATGTTCTACTGCTGATTACTAAAGAACGGAATAAGGTAGAAACACATTTTTTTTCCTGATGAAAGAAGAGAGTCTACTCTTTCTTTTGGTGTGTTCGGTGTTTACATAGTCATAGCACAAACTATTCTGTGGCTCTTGAAAAATCAGTCAAAATGCTAAAAAAAAAAACTGTCAGTATGGGGCTCTGTTCTAAAAATGGCTGGCAGTCAATGAGTTAATAAAATTTTTTAATAACTCTAATAAGAAAGCTGCAGCCAGAGTTCAGGAGGGAGTTCTGGGACGTTTTCAGGAATAAACCCGAGGCTCTGGGGCAGAAATCTGAGCTCAAACCGAACGCGTGCAAAACGGATTAGTTTGTGGAGACCTTCACAGATTTGTTTCTGACTGGGAACGGTAGTCATGGCAACTAACCATCATCATCATCATCATCTCATTTCTGCCTCAGATGAACCCTCAATAGCTGGAAATATATACAGTAAATCTTTATTGGTTATCGTTAAAAAAATATTTTTTATTTATTTATTTATGTATTTTTTTATTTATGTATTTATTTATGTATTTATTTATGTATTTAATAATATAATTATTAAATTGTTTAATGATATAATGATATAATAATTTAATAATTTCATAATTTCATAATTATAAATATATTCTTATTGGGGGTTTGTCTTGTTTGTACTTGTAATTTTTCTACTCCATGTTTCCATCTTATTCTGCTCCTCATCCATCTCTTTTCCATGGCAGAAGGTTTCCTTATTAAAGCCCCGACACATTTAAATCCCAAAAGCAGCAGAATAATGGAACCACGTTACATTTAGACGTAAAAAAAAAAAGCAGAATGGAGAAGACTATAATAAGATCCAATTTGATGAATGGATAAAATGCATCAAGAAATACAATCTCACAGGTTTTAGGAATATATTTCACTATTAAAGTGCTTTAAAAACAAACAAAAAACAGAAAAATGCAGTTTTCTTTTCACATTCTGACCCGGTAGTCTGAAATGGATCATGGACAGGTTGGATGTTATATAAACATGAAGTTCAGCCAGATGGACGGACAGATATATAACAAACCACCAATTGCAAGCCGGTTTCATCATAGAGAACAAACTGAAACCAAGATGTTTTCTACCTCGTTACAGTAAGTCGAAGGAACCTCTGAAAAATTAAAGATAAATCCAACACAGTCGGCATTACATTTTTATGCTTGAAGAGGCGGAAAAGGTTGTGCAGTAATTAGGGAAAATCCACTAAAACGCAGAGAAAAACTTTAGCTTTGCGAGGAGCAAAACTCTGGTTCTCTTCTGGAGGTTTGAACTCATAATTAGATCATAATCTACAGCTGGTTACCTTCATGCTTTCCAGCTATGAAAGGAAATTAAGTTTCAAGTTGAATGATAAGTTGGCTCATCTCTTTTATTATTATTATTATTGCATTTCCAAATATTAATGAAATAAATTCACTTCATGCCACGGCAACAACCATTAAGCTAAATAAAGCTCTCTAAATCGTGTTGGATAAAATGTCTAATCATTCTGAATTACTTATTTTCACGCATAAACAAAGCTGAATGCTAAGTAGCTTTAAACTAGGGTTGTCACGATACTAAAATTTTTAACTCGATACCGATACTCAGGAAAATATTCGATACTCGTTACCACAAGGATAAAAACAAAGACCCCAAAATTTAACTGAATTTTGACAGGTTAGTGTCTTTTATTTCAAACTGACCTGTTACTGATGTTATCCCTGATCCTAACCCTAACCCTAACCCTAACCCTTCATAATTGTGAGAAATAAATATTTTTTGGTTAAACTTGTTTGGACTTATTGTACAAACCTATTTGACATCCACTATTTTAACATCATATTATGGATAGAGTTTAATTCTGTGTTTGCAAGATTCATTTCACTATTTTTAAATTAATGTCTATATTGCCATGAAGCAATTAGGATTTTCCTGCCTGGGATCTTCCTATTGGTGACCTAATCAAAATGGCCGACTTGGATGTGGGCGGACTTGGATATATACTTGATTAATTGTAGCATGTTATTATTAGCCGTTAGCCGCAGCTAGCAAGGCTAACGTCTTGTTAATGATCATAAACAACGTAAATAAATACTTAAATAAATCAGAGAGAAGGGGGGTGGTATCGATACTTCTGAAAATGAGTATCGTATCCGACCATTTTAGTATCTATACTTTTTCGAGTATCGATACTTTTGACAACCCTACTTCAAACTAAGACCATAAAATACACAGAAAGACGTCTTTTAGAGGTGAACCTTTCTCATTTTAATCCAAAATGGCCTCATTGGTTCTCTGATCGCGTCCAGAGGTCCAGATCCTCCAAAACAGATTAAAAGTAGAGCAGAAGTTTGTCCACTTGTTTGCTTTCGGGCAGAATAATCTAGCTTTTTTCCCAGAAGAGTCTCATATCTCAAACCCATCTGGCAGAGCGATAACCCCGGTTTCATCTTATTCTGCACATCATCGCGGTTATAAACGACCGGAAGCTTCTTTGGAAAGCACGGTTGTGGGTCTCACGTCTTGTAAAAACTTTCCTTTGGAGAATTTTTAAAGACTCGTGTTCGGAGATGAAGCGATGTGAAATCGCATCTGTGTCCAAACGATGTTCACCCCCTCATTCGTCTCAGAAACAATCTGTGCCAGGCTGAGAAAAAGAGAATGTGATTGCTTTCCCTTTTGTCATTTTCTTTAAAGCAAACATCAGTTGCGAGGAACCGCCTGTGACAGATGGTTGTGTACGCCTTAATTGTTCTGAGGTCTGAAATACTGTCGATTCCAGCAATTTACCGACTCAGCGTCTGCGTTCTGTGAAAATTATGTAATCAAATCCAAAACACTGCTAAGTTTGTGGTAGGAATTGTTCCCTGGTTGGCTTCCTCTCATTACAGAGAAAAGTTCTGCTGCAAAAGCAAAAATAAAAACGTTTTTCAGAGATGTCTGAGATTCAATCAGGGGCAGAGTTTCAGAAAAAGACCTGAAGCTGTAGAGTTTAAAGCTCTGCAAACTAAATCCTGTTTAGTATCGATGAATCTACACAGGTGACACAAGTTCCCAAAGTGGATATCACAAATAAAGCCTTTAGTAGCAGGATTGAATGAGAAAATATAAAAACTAAAACCGGGAGTTGTTTGTTTCCCTTCAATCAACTGAGAGACTGAAAGAGTCGTATCTCTGTTATTTCAGCTTGACTTGAGGGGTTGAAAACAGAGAAAGACCAGGAGGAAAACACATCTGACAACCAGCATCTTCAGAGGAACAATAACGCCCTTTTCCCGCTACTTAGCTTTACTCAGTTTGACATATTGTGTGTTTTTTTTTGCATCGTTTCTGTGTGTGTGTTGAGGGTGCTCAGAAAGCAGGAACCTGATTGGCCAGAGACATTGATGCTGAGAACTTCTGACCAATAGCAGATAAGAAGTTACGATGGATTACAAATATTACGTCCAATAAAAACTTACCCTGAAGGCCGGCCGGATTCTGACTATATGATTCAATTAATCAAACTAATCAACTAAATATGCAGCAATATTCATTAATTAAATACATTCATTTATCTCCAGAAAACCCCAAACTATTGATTAAATGCTTTGGTTTTTGTGCCGATTAAAAAAATGAAGTTTCTATGTCCATGTGTTTGGACTGATTTTGTATTTTGTGATATTGTGTTGTTTTGTCTTCCTGCCTCAGGACCACAGATGTAAATGAGCAACTATGCTATAATCTGGCTCACAATCTGTACAGAAGTATAAGATTTTTCATTAATGTACACTGTCCTGATTAAATAAATGAATGAACGAATGAGGGAATGAATAAATAAATAAATAAATAAATAAATGAATGAATAAATGAACAAAAAAAAATCAAATGAATACATAAATAAATAAAAAAATAAAATAATCAAATAAATAAATAGATAAATTAATAATTAAATAAATGAATACATAATTAATTAAATAAATGAATAATCAAATAAATAAATAATCAAATAAATAAATAAATACATAAATAAATAAATAATCAAATAACTAAATAACTAAATAAATGAATACATAATTAATTAAATAAATAAATAATCAAATAAATAAATAAATTAAAAAATAAATAAATAAACAAACAAATAAATAAGTGTGAGCTCCGGGTGCCTACCAATCATGCCGTTGACGGTGCCGAACAGCACGGAGCCCTGTGTGGGCGTGGAGCTCTCGCCCAGGTTCTGTAAAACCAGCGACCCGTGGCAGAAAACATTAACGAACTCGCCCAGGTGGAACACGCCCACCTCCTGCAGGTGCTGCCGCTCCTCATCGGTGGTCGCCGCGCTGCCCAGGGCAGAAAGAGAACAAATAGGTTTATGTTTATTTTAATGCATTTGGCAGACACTTTTATTCAAAGCTTTTTTATCCCACACTTTCCTGATACAACAACAGGTCTAAAAAACTGGACTGGATATAAAAACTGCCAAAGAAAACGATATTGAATTGAATTGAATTGAAAGCCTTTATTGTCATTATATATATATACAGTGGGGGAAATAAGTATTTGACCCCTTGCTGATTTTTCAGGTTTGCCCACTTACAAAGAATGCAACGATCTATAACTTTAATCATATGTACATTCTAACAGTGAAAGACAGAATCCCAAAGAAAATTCCAGAAAATCACATCATATGAATTGATAAAAATTGATAACCATCTGATGAGGAAAAATAAGCATTCTTTGTAAGTGGGCAAACCTGCAAAATCAGCAAGGGGTCAAATACTTATTTCCCCCACTGTATATATATATCTTATTGGCAACAGAAAATCAATCAGCTTTAAAGACTTGGACATTTGGATGAGGAAAAATAGTGGCTAACCTTGAATTTGTCTCAAAGCTCTGGACAGGCCAGCTAACCCTAACCCTAACCCTGGAGACACCAGCCGAGGGATATGTTTATGTTTATGTTTCTGTTTCTGCATTTGGCAGACGCTTTTATCCAAAGCGACTTACAGAGTAGACACAATATTCCATTTCTCATCACTATGACAATAAGCTATCCAGAGGAGAAACCCTGATCAGAGTCAGTGGTGAGATAGAGGTAGAGGTAGAGGGACTACAGAAGGAGCTGTTTTTTGGGTCTTTTTCTTTATGTGGGGAAATTATGATCCATCTGTCTGCTGAGCTTTTAGCCCCTCTGCAGCATTTTTCATTGTTGTAATTTCACAAGAAGACGAGTTTTGACTCCAGAGGGATACAGTCTGTAAGTGTGTGCGCTACGTTTATGCCTCTGCTCATTACCACAGTAATAAATCAGTTCGGACCTCTCGATGCTTTTGACCTTTCCTTCTGCCTCACGTCTGTGTTCCTGTTGCTCTCCTCACTGTTTCTCACCCTTCCATCCATTACCTCTTTATCATTCTTTGCCCTTTCCCATCGCTCCTTGTGTCTCTGCCCTTATGTTTTTTTGTTTTTGCCTCTGATTAATGGATGAAGTCTTTCCCACAGCAGTTTCCTCTGATACACGTCACCCCTCTGTTCACTGAACTCCACTGGTTACCTCTGGCTGCCCGTATCAAATGCAAGTCCCTGATGCTAGCCCACAAAGTGCTTAAGGGTCCGGCTCCCATCTACTTGAATCCTCTCCAAAGGCTTATGTCACAACTGGACTGAACTGCTAGCTGCGGCTAATGGCTAATAATAACACGCCAACATTAATCAAGTACATATCCAACTCCGTCCTCATCCAAGTTGGTCATTTTGATTAGGTCACCAATAGGAATGGCAATACAGACATTAAATTAAAAATAGTTAAATTAATCTTGCAAACACTTTATTCAACTCTATACATGGCTTCCCGTCCCCATTTAGACTCAGAAAAACGAGGCTCTTTCCTCACCTGTCCTTCTGGCAGACGAACAGGTTGAAGGAGTTCTCCGCCCCCAGGAAGTTGTCGTCGTCCAGGATTTCCACGGCGCTCATCCAGTTTGGGTTGAAATCCCGAGCAATCTGAGGAAAAAAAACAAAACAAGAAGTATAAAAAGCTGCAGCCAACAGGAAGGTGAGGGCCGACGGCCTCGCTCTGTTTATTTATGAGCAGAGACGGGCCGAATCCAAACAAGAGCTGAAAGTTTGACATCAAATCAATAGTTTTCAGCACATGACGGGAATATAAAAACGCCTCAGCGGGCTGTAATGGATCCTCTGCAAAGTTAGAATATCTGAGCAGGCAGGGTGCCGAGTTTCATTTGCTTAATCTAAAAAAAGAACTTTTTAAAGACAGGCAGGAAGTGCTAGCTAAGCTAAATGCTAATGCTCAAAAAGGGGGAAAAAGAGCAGCTTCTAACAGTGAGAACAACGTGAGCTCGACAGGGAAAACATTAGCATAAAAAGTACCAACATACAATCCCTTTAACCATTAACTCATTGGCTGCCATAGACGTCTATAGACGTCTTTTATGTTTTTCAACGAGAGTGTCTGGGGGACGATCTGCTAAAGCTTGTCCGTAAATATGGGCTTCTAGACAGAGTATGTAGTAACAAATTGACCCTCTAGGGGGCAGTGCCACTTTTGATGGGAGATGAGCATAGACTGTAGGCAAATAAGAAAAAGGGAACGGTTCTATGAGAGAACATGTCGCCGGAACATGCTGTTTTTGCCGTTTTATAGAAGGATACAACTTTTAAGATGTTTGAGGCGTCACTAAAGCCAAAAAAATAGCATCAAAGACACTTCTCTGCTTGAACTGTATCTTTTCACAAAAAGCTTGTTTTCTCCATTTATTGGTCAAAAACTGGTGTTTTTGTTGAAACCAACCTATGTTCTACTGCTGATTACTAAAGAACGGAATAAGGTAGAAACAAAAAATTTTTCCTGCTGAAAGAAGAGAGTCTACTCTTTCTTTTGGTGTGTTCAGTGTTTACATAGTCATAGCACAAACTATTCTGTGGCTCTTGAAAAATCAGTCAAAATGCTCAAAAAACTCTGGCAGTATGGGACTCTCTTCTGAAAATGGCTGGCAGTCAATGAGTTAACCAGCTTTAACCATTTCTCCCAAAAAATCTCACCTCTTCAAAGTTGCCCTCCATGGGTTTGTAAGCTAGCAGCAGGACGGACCTCATCAGGTCTCCCACCAGGATGAAATCCCCTTTGGTTTTCAGGTACAGGGCCATGATGTTGTTATAGTGGTTACACTCCGTCCTCAGCTCCTTTTCGGCCGTCCACTCGTACAGACGGACCTGCAGAAAACAGCCGGGGTGTTGAATTGCTTTCCACAGTGGATGGAAAGCAGCTCCTGCTTGAAATGACAACCTGAAACGTCGTTTTGGTTCCACTGTGCCATCACTTAAAGGGGACATCTTATGCAAAACCAAGTTTTTAATCATGTGATTGTGTACATTTGGGACTGTGGAGGGCCTATCAGCAGGCAAAGTGTGAAAAAAAAATGACTGGGTCATGTTTTTGTGGGCCGCCTCAGTCTGAATCCAGGAGATAAATCAGGAGGTTTCAGGAGTGGGTAGTTTCTGACGTCATTAGCTCTAGCTCATTATAATATTATTATTATTATAATAGACTTAGACTTGACTTTATTTACCCCTTGGGATGACTCCTTCAAATTGATTAAAGAAGTCAGTTGTTTCAGAATCATTATTAATATTACTCTTTTTTAATTGTCCTAATTCGTGTGGATTCAGCTTCAGAATCCACTGGAGCGCTAAAGCTAACGGCTCAGGGTTTCCTACAAGGAGCTGCAGGGCAATAAAAACACATTCAATTAGTCAGGGTTTCACACATAAACTTAAAGAACCAATTAACTGGTGTGGTAAAGTGAGTTAATCACAGACTGAGTTCTACCTTTTGGTGGAAAGACGAGTTTAAGGATTTTGGGGCATTTGTTACACCCACAAAAAAAAAGCAAAGATGTAACCCTGAAACTCGTTAAATCCATGCAAATACAATCTTGAATGCCTGAATTAAATAAAACATTAAAAAAGAGTTTATTAATAGCCTGGAGAAGAAATTTAATTTTTAAAAGAGTGCAGAAAGTCTGATGAACAAGGACAGAGCTAACTAACTACTTGCTATTGAAATGTAAAGTCAGAAGCCAAGAGAACAAATAAACCTATTAAATCACTTTTTTGAAGTTTTGTGTTTTATATTTCTTACTCATTTATCTTTTTCTTATGATCTTTCAGGGAGTTTTAGAATTGGATAAAAAATGTATTGAATTCTCTGTTAGTTTGTTAGTGTTATGTGAGCCTAAGATTTAAGAATAAATGGTGTAGAGTGGAATTTATAACAAGTTGTAAAACTACCTCCATCCATCCAAACATTCCTAAAAAAAATGTTTAGCATTAAGGTGAATTTTCTTCAACCAACTCCAATTTTATAAGAGACAAAACTCCAAATCAGACAAGAATTGAACACTGAAATATATGAGAAAAATCTTCTTTTTTTAAAAATATAAGCATATAAAAATAAAATTATGAGATTGAGTCATTTCAGGAATTATTTTACAAGCAACCGGTGTCAGATGGTGATATGTTTTCTTTTATATTTTATGTTTTCTCCCGGCAACACGGGACACACAGATGGATAATCACTAATATTTTTGGTAATAAATGTTAGGCTCAGGGAACAAAACAGTGTTTTGAGAGGGTGTAACTTACTTTATAAGACTCTACTCCTTCTGATTAAATAGCTGTTTCTACACTCACAGGGTTGAGCAACATCGCCAATAGCCATAAAAGTTTGATTCAGAGTAAAATAATTAGTTATGACTTTGTTAAGAGCAAAGAAACACAGAAATCATTGTGTTAGAAGCAAGACGAGCCCCAGAAAACCGATATAATCACTGATATTTCAGATAACTCTGCTTTTTAAGCATTTAATCCCTTAAATCTATCAGCAGCTCAGCCTAGAAGAGTGTGTTTTTACAGGGTATTTATGTAAAGGCTGCTTCTTTCACACTGTAAAAAAGGCCATTTTACACTATTTCACATGGAACGAATCTCTTTAGATATGTTTCTATAGAATGAGTGAAATAGAAAATGCATTTTCTGGATTGATCGTGTTCCCTTTTAAACAAAGGACAACGGAAAAGAGGTTGTCTTGCACTAGAAAGGCAGAAGTAAAGTACAGAACCTTTAGATATAGTCAAAATATTAGTGAGTGATTAAATTTGGCAGGTTTCTCTGTTTTAGCACTCCTGATTCAGATGAATGAGCTCCGTCAGCTTTGAGGATCATAGTTTGGGAAACGTTGGATTTAGATGATTTAAAACCAGGTCACCCGGTTTGTGGAAATGAGTTCTTTTTAATTGGAAGGTTTCCAAATATGCAGGGAGAGTATCAGTACTTAATCAGTCAAGCAAATGACCACAGAGGTGCACTTGAAAAAAAAAAACCTTTGTCAAGGGCTGTGGATTTTAATTGAAAAGCAATCAAAGCAATAGATGTTTTCAGAGAGATCGTGATATAAAAACATAACTGAAAAAAAATCAGGCCACTGAAACAGAAATGAGAGCGAACGAATAAAAGAGTAAGAACTTAAACAGAGTACCTCTCAAACGTAAACATACCTGGGTGATAAAAACATCATTTCTACACTTACTGTGCTATTTATGCTGGCCAGCAGTTTGCCATTGAACTCCACCATGGAATAGACGGCTCCTTTCACCTCTTTTTCTGCCACAGTCTGCAGCTTACCTGCAGGAAACATCAGAGAGTCAGAGTCCAGCTCGTTTAAAAACCAAGAGAGGAACGCGAACAAGAACCCAGACGTGGAGAAAATAGAAAACGAAAGGTGGCGATCGATGCAAAGGTGAGGGCAAAACGAGGGGCCTGATCAGGATAAATGAAATGCAACAGAGAGTGTGAAAGGCAATGAGGGGGAGGGGGGGGGGGGGCTGATAAGGGGTGATAAGGGGATGATTAAGTGAGGGGAAAAATAAGAGTACGGAAGGACAAAGTGTCCGTGCTCAATGAACGTGCTCAATGTGTTTTAACATAAAGTGGGGGAAATAAGTATTTGAGCCCTTGCTGATTTTGCAGGTTTGCCCACTTACAAAGAATGCAACGATCTATAACTTTAATCATATGTACATTCTAACAGTGAAAGACAGAATCCCAAAGAAAATTCCAGGAAAATCACATCATGTGAATTTATAAAAATTGATAACCATCTGATGAGGAAAAATAAGCATTCTTTGTAAGTGGGCAAACCTGCAAAATCAGCAAGGGCTCAAATACTTATTTCCCCCAGTGTACTGCTCTGATTTTATTATGAAAAATGTAATATGTTGTAATATGTATGAACTTCCTGTCTATTTCCTGCTACCGTGGCCAGGTCTCTCTTGGAAAAGAGATTCTGAATCTCAATGGTAAAAAAAAAGAGAACAAAAGAAAATGAAAAACAAAACAACAAAAACGCTTCACCCGTATAAATTAAGGAAAGAAAAATATGTACAAACCTGGAAAAAAAAGAAAACGAAAAAATTAAATAAAAAAATAATCCAACATATGGCCTCGTGTCCTCGTTAACTCATTGGCTGCCAAAGACGTTTATAGACGTCTTTTATGTTTTTAACGAGAGTGGCTGGGGGACGCTCTGCTAAAGCTTGTCCGTAAATATGGGCTTCTAGACAGAGTATGTAGTAACAAATTGACCCTCTAGGGGGCAGTGCCACTTTTGATGGGAGATGAGCATAGACTGTAGGCAAATAAGAAAAAGCTAACGGTTCTATGAGAGAACATGTCGCCGGTGAGACGCAAGTCCAGGAAGAACGGAATAAGGTAGAAACACTTTTTTTTTTCCTGATGAAAGAAGAGAGTCTGCTCTTTCTTTTGGTGTGTTCGGTGTTTACATAGTCATAGCACAAACTATTCTGTGGCTCTTGAAAAATCAGTCAAAATGCTCAAAAAACTCTGACAGTATGGGACTCTCTGTTCTGAAAATGGCTGGCAGTCAATGAGTTAAATAAAGGTTAAATAAAAAATAAAATAAAACGAAATACAGAGGGAAGGGTGGAGAGGAGAAAATGAAACAGAAGGGCCAGAGAACCGGTGAGGAGACGAGCATGGAAAGAAAAGCAGAAATAAAAAGAAGAACATCTGCCTGGTGAGCTTGCTGAGCTATTACACAAATGGGGATCAAACATTATGTTTGATTGTTTTTGTTTATCTTTTTTTCCCTTGATTTATCATATGGAGTATAGGTTTTGACCCTGATGTGTATTTGAAATTCATATACCGGACATTTTGCTGGACATTTCAGATTTTGTATTAGACCTGGCTGTGCTGAATTGTTGTTGTTTGTCTCGTTTCTAAAAGACAATAAAGTATTGTTTTAAAAAAAGATAAGGTAAGATAAGATAAGATAAGATAAGATAAGATAAGATAAGATAAGATAAGATAAGATAAGAAAAGATAAGATAAGATCATTTTAGTTTGATTGTTTTTGTTTATCTTTTTTTCCCTTAATTTATCATATGGAGTATAGGTTTTGACCCTGATGAGTATTTGAAATCCATATACCGGACATTTTGCTGGACATTTTAGATTTTGTATTAGACCTGGCTGTGCTGAATTGTTGTTGTTTGTCTTGTTTCTAAAAGACAATAAAGTATTGTTTAAAAAAAAAAAAAAAGATAAGATAAGATAAGGTAAGATAAGATAAGATAAGATAAGATAAGATAAGATAAGATAAGATAAGATAAGATCATTTTTGTTTGATTGTTTTTGTTTATCTTTTTTTCCCTTGATTTATCATATGGAGTATAGGTTTTGACCCTGATGTGTATTTGAAATTCATATACCGGACATTTTGCTGGACATTTCAGATTTTGTATTAGACCTGGCTGTGCTGAATTGTTGTTGTTTGTCTCGTTTCTAAAAGACAATAAAGTATTGTTTAAAAAAAAGAAAAAAAAAAAGAAGAAGAAGTCCTGGTGACTGACCGTCGGTGTAATGGAAGACCACGATGCGTCCCTGCTTTGGTTCTGACTCCTCCGGGTAAACCATGGCCGTTCCCACGATGAAGTAAACCGACGGGTCTTTCCCCAGGCGGCAGGACACCATGCTGAGGGCGTACTCGCAGGGAAGGAACTGGTGGGCGTGGAGAACTGAGGGAAACATAGAGTAAAATATCCCAAAATTGAATATAATCACTCACAATTGGAGACCAAGTGGAGTACGGTGGTCAAAAGTATCGATACTCCAAAAAGTATGGATACTCAAACGTTGTATTCGGATACGATACTCGTTTTCTAAAGTATCGATACCCTCTGCTCCCAAATCTTTTTGATTTATTTATTTATTTACGTTGTTTATGATCATTAACCCTGTAATGCCAAATGTATCATATTTGATTCATACGGTTTCTGAAATGTTTTGCTTAATTTAATGGTAAAAACTTTGCTCAAAATCCTAATTTACACAATCAGATACACCTGATAACAGGGGGCAGAAGACTACACAAAAAATAATATGGACTTATCGCATAGTAATAAATTATTATCAAAAATGCATTTCTGTTTTTTCTTTTTACATATTTTGTTAAAAGGCCAAATTAAAGACTTAAAACAAAAAAAAAGTATTTTTTTGTTTTGGTTTATTCTTGGATCAGGCTTTAAAGGATTCGATAAAAAAAGTATCGATATCAAAAAGTATGGATACTAAAACGTATCTGGATATGATACTCATTTTCAAAAGTATAAGTATTATTAGTAGTTACCGTTTGCTATTCTTTATTAGAACTCGGTGTAATAACTCTCTCCTGATTCCCGTTCCTAGATTTAGAGGATGGCGTGCTATAGTATAGCATTGCTATAGTAAGTAAGTAGTCAGTTTGAAACAAGACACTAACCTGTCAAAATTCAGTTACATTTTGGGGTCTTTGTTTTTATCCCTGTGGTATCGAAAACTTGACTATATATAATATTGACTATATAGAATATATCCAACCATCCATGCTAACGTAGTTATAGTGAACATATAAACATGGAGGGATGTGAGGTGAACTCTTTGATGAAGCCGAGTCCTGAGGTGCAGAAACCGTTCAGCAGACCTAATTTCTCTGATCTTCCCTGAGCCTTAAAGCTTAGTGGAAATGCAACAAACCCCGGGTTGAATTGGTCTTTTAGTTCGGGGGTGGGGGG